TTTATAATGATGAACTAAAGAATACAAACCATTAAAAAATAAGAATTAAAATCCTAGAAGCTAACTAAATCCTTCAATAGCCGTGGCAGATGAAAATATTGATGTAAGAAGGGGAAAAAAACAGGAGATATAAAACGCCCCTCATTAAGTATGTAGAGGTAAATGTCAGGTATTAACCAGAGACTGTAGTAGAGATGATACCTGTACAAGACATAAAATCAATACCTTGTATCAGGTGGCATCATTTGCAGGCAAAATTTCCATGCAGGCAATATTTCTCCAAGAACCTAACAAAATAATTCTTGTACATAGAAAGTTAAGTTCTGGCAATATTTAATGCTTCATTGGATGGATGTAGTGGTTGTAATAAATGGAGATCAAGTTATATTATGTGCATGAAAGACCATATCTTATTATGAAATAAAATCTGCATACAGATCAAATTGTGTTTCCAAATAAAGAAACTTATAACCACCATATTATTTTCCTAATTGACAACTTCATCCATACAAAAATGAAATTTTCAATATGAAACAGATACATTGTCGCTCTCAAATTAAATAATTGAAGCATAGTGCAATTCAATTATAGACACCTCAAAATCAATTTTTGATATCACTAATTTTTTTATTATGCTCTATAGAACAATTATAGTGGTCTCCAAATGAATTTGATACCTCTTCAATTTAATTACAGTGCTCTAAAAACAGCTGAAATACACTTTAATTTTTGAAATATTCCATTAAATTGGAGAGGTCTTAAATTCATTTATTGCAGGGTATAAATCAATTTTGGATATCAATAATTGAATTCGAGGGCTGTCGAATTATTCAAAGATATTCTTCAAATATTTCAGTATACATGTAGATTTGGTGTATCACACTCACAATGGTATTTTCAAGCAGTTGTAGACAACTGTGACTGCTAACAGCCAATAATTGAGCTTCTAATATCTTTTGTATTTTTTTAACAAATCCCAAATTCACAGACAAAAAAAGTTTATTTTTGTTTAAAAAAGAAAAGAGGATCAACCAAACAGATAATTTTTTATTAAACAATGAGAATTCTTCAGATAAAACAACAGTGTTTTTTTTCCACCAAAATATTGGGCGAAATTCGGCCCCATTCCCCCCTCAAAATAGTATGTTTTTTTCCCCTCTCAAAGCCAAAATTTCCCCCTCATATGGCAGCCAAAATTTGCCTGAAATGGATACCTTTTTTTTTGCATATAACTGCCGAAAAATGTTTTATATTAAGCCTGTAAGACTTACTGTTAAGCAAAGTCGTTTACAAATTGTTCCCGGGTATGTAAGGGGAGCTACTCCTGGCGTCCCAACAAGTTTAACATGCGACTCTTTAAATTCTGCTGTCAATATTTTAGATCTGTATATTAAGAAAAAGCGATGTATTTTAAACTTGTGTTGCAAGAGTTGCTCCCCTTTCTACTCACTGGAAAGGAAACAATGTCAAACAAAAGTAAATCTTACAGTGGTAAGTGATGTATTGAAATATGCACTGGATTCGTTTTTGTTTGAAATAAAATTCCCCCTCCTTTTGCATTTTCCCCCTCAAAACGGCACCGACCCCCTTCCCCAAAAAGTGAAAAAAAACACTGAACAATTAAGTTGATACTCTTAAAGCAAAATTTTAAAATAGGCTTTAAAGTAGGGCTTACACTTTAATGTTAAGGCGTAGGCTTTAAGATTTGAGTATTAGTGGCAAAGTACAAGGGTCTTGTCTCTTTAACAATACTAACAAACCAAAAAATCAAATCACATTTGTCCGCAATGTCATTTGCAAAATTTTTCTTTTGATACATTCATAAAGTTGAACTTCAATGGTTTGAACTTAGTCTTGAATTGCTTTAACACCCAGAATTTCATGAATTCAATATTTGGTCCCTTAACTTTTGCAGTTAAATGCCTTCTTAATTCTATATAGTTCTACCTGGGATGGCTCTCAAATCTCACATGGTCCCATGAGTTCAATTATGGAGATAATTACATTCATTTATTCAAACAGACAATTTGTTGCTAACTTGTAACATATGACTATCAAATATAGCAATAGGGTGTGGATGTGTAACCACAGTAAAAGCCCCTTGTATTTTTTTCAATATCAAAATTATATAGTCACTTGAAATCAAATGCTAATTCTAACACTATCACATGTAGAGGCTTTAAGGTAACCAAGGGCAGGTCCAATTTTAGAACCTGACAGCTGTCTACTTTATCCAATAGATAGATAATGGATCTAAAGATTTTATACAAGCTGGATTCTATTATTGCTTACAACTAGTAAAACAGTCTTCGACTTAACCCACTCGACCGACGACCGAGTCGAGTAAATTTGCGGGTGGTCGAGTGAAAATTCCAAGCTGGTAGCCCGTCTGGTCGAGGGCTTTTTTCATTATCCAAATTAAGAAAATGTTGAAAATATGCAGAGCTCCAGATAGCAATGTTTTGGCTTTATGAAAATACAATATATTTCTGCTGAATTGGATGGAAAACTAAAAGTACTATTGTCAACACTGCTGTAAGTTGAAAACGAAAGTAGCAGGAAGTGACATCGAGTAAAAAGGGAAGGTAACTCTTGGGAGTTTCTGAAATGAAATTATTGATAAAGTTAAATTTGGTGTAAAGATCGTAGGACTTAACCTAATATTCAATTTGTTTAGACATATTTTATAATGTTTTTGCTACAAAATAAAGAAAAATGTTGAACTTGCCACTTTAGTTATTGGAAAACATATTTCTCCCTTGCCATCTGCAGTTTTGTACTCGATATTTTCGTACCAAGTTTATTGTGTACTCAATATTTTTGTACCAAGTTTACGGTTAAGGACAATTTCCTCAAAGACTAATTCTTTGTGTATAAAAGTTTTAATTCTATTATATTTATTTTTCATTAATTCTAATTTTAATTATAAATAATCAAAACCAAAGAACGGAACTAAAATGTGGTCTGTTGAAATAGAGTATGAATAAAGCCTCATGCTGACCATGTAGCTGATTGTAAAAGAATGTAACACATTCAAACAACAACATGTCAGCAACAAAAAAAATGAGTCTTGTCATTAATTTGCTGTGTAACCTAAACAAACCCTAGTCTAGGGAAGCCTGCCTTAACAGAGCAAGTTTTGTATTATTTCACATTGAATCAATATTTTATTATATATTTTTTGTGTTCAATGATAACTGTACACGTGGACATATATTCCAGCTATAAACCAAGTGTGAATAAAACACTAAGAAAAATTCATTTCCTATTAGATGCATTGACCAGTGGAATAATTTAGATGAAAACATTGTTCTCAGTGAAAGTGTTTTGACATTTAAAACTTTACTTGACCGGAGCTGGCAAAGTGAAAGATTTAATACAAGTGACATTTACTGAAGTTATCCTGATAATACTGTATAGGAGGAGCTTACAAGCCATCTTGGCTTAAATGCTCAGAAGAAGGAGAAGGTAAAGGTAATATATAAGTCAGTCTTGGCCCTAAAAATTATTTGCAGCTTTATTGAACTTAAAACGGTTATGAAATATTATAGACATTTATTAGGTGTCATCTCATGCTTCTAAATATGTCTTTTCTCTTGTATTTTGAAGGCACTAAGCCAAAAAAAAAAGTAATACGAAAAGGAATATAAATATTTTGTCAATGCATGTATCAGCCAACATGGTTACAGTAAATGAGGACAAGAGTATTTTCAGTTTTTAAACAATTTTTTTCAGTGTCTGTGGACAATGCCACAGAAATATCAAAATATTTTCTTTTCATATGTAGTTTAAACTCTTCTTATTTAAATAATGAAAGAAAGAAAAGTTGATTAGTTGGTATTTTATTAATGTTAAATGGTATATAAAACATACAGAAAGTGTTATTTTTGTACAAAATGTATGCAAAAAATACCATTTTGGTTCGGGCTAGTAAAAATGTGTTCGGGCTAGTGAAATTTGTAAGCTGCTAGCCCGACTGGGCTAGTGCTGATAAAAAATTAAGGCGAAGACTGGTAAAATCAGTTTGATATAGAATTTATACTCAGTTGTAAACTTTAAAACATTAAAAATTTTAAACCATGGGAGATTTGGTAATGCTTGTCTGTAAGTTCTATGGACATGGTATATAATCTAATTCCAGACTGAGGGTTTTGGAAATTGGTAACTTCATTGGAAGTTTGGAAAAGAGTGCAATAGCTAGATAACATTATTTCATCATTAAAGAATCTCATATTTATGTTTAGATGCTAGGTTCAATACATGAAATAGTTTTAAATAGTAAGACCTGTTGTGCTACATGTAGGTGCACATTCTGATATAGAACTGATGTTGCTGATATTTCCATGCTGTTTGCTTAATGCTTATCATGTTCATCTATGAAAGTATTATCATGCTTTTGCCTTTCGCTTGTTCAGACAGGTGCAAATCCACATTCTTCTTTTGTCATCATCAGCTATTTCAATTAAGTAACAAATGGTATTGCCAAAGGACTGTAATCAATATTAGCTCAATATAACACATAATTATAAGATGTTTTTAAACATATACAGTACATCTCTGTTATCTAAATATTTACATATCAAAAGATATTTAAAAAAAAAACACTTAGAAAAAGAGAAGCCTGGTCACAATCCTAGTATCCTAAATTATATTTCAGGTAGAAGAATAATGTGGATAATCATTTTACTGTTAAGAAGGAATAATAAACATAAAAATCATTTTTTTCAAAATCAACCTTCGTAAAGAATAAGCAAACAGGCCAGTATATTGCTGTGATATATAAAATTCGATTTCTTTGTCTTTGAACACAATATGGGTGTGTAACCAGCTACTCAAAGGAAACAATATTATATCACTGAAAACAGGTACAGACTACTTAACAGCTTAAGCTACTTCCTGAAATTAAACACGACCGACAAAGCCGGGTTTTTTTCATTAAGGAGGACAGTGTTTAAAGACAATAATAAAGGATAAAACGAATGAATTATACACAAATATACCTGTATTACAATTCTCCTATACCAGGGTGTAATCGTTGTTTGGAACTTGTCATGCAAAACGTCAAAATTTCCGAGACAGTCATCCGGTGTCGCCACAAATTTCACACCTGTTGATTATTCCGACAGGTGTGTCGCGGAAGAATATTAGTACGTATAAAAAGAAGTCCGATCAATTAAAGCTATATCTATAAGAATAACAATGTTTTAGATTTGAAATCAATGCAAACCACTAACCAAGTTGGCAGAAACAGTTAACCTTTTCATGGTTAAAATATTTTTGTGAGTCACAAATTAATCTTTACATGCAACCGAAGAGAAACCGAAAGTAAACAATGGGGGCGTCGCGTGCACTTCAAAACGAGGCTTTTCTTTCTAGGCTAAGTGGAACTAAATTAAATGAATCAATTAAAAGAAAACAAGGTTAGCTTTTAAAAAAGCTAGTAGCGACTCGCTTCGTAATTTTTTTCAAGGGGTGTGTTTAAATGTAAAAATGACAGTTCTGTTAGCTGAAGAGACTTCAGCGAACATCAAAATAAAAGTGAAGTCAACACTGGCCCGGTGCCCGATGGCCAGTGTATATAAGTTCAGGCCAGTGTAAATTTAAGAAAATTTTGTTAATTATTTAGTAGAATAAATTCAAAACTGGAATTCGGGCCAGTAAATTCAAAATCTTAAACTCATTGACTGAAAGTGACATATAAAGTTCTCTCAGTTTAACCAAGATGAGTATGAGTATATATGAAGGCGCATGTAAACAGATAGAATGAAGAACCTATGTCTATGCACATTTACTATATGGCCTGTTGACCTTGACCACAAAATGTTAGATAGGTAGATTTCATAAAGATGTCTCTTTATACAAAATTAAGTTGTAATACATGTATGTTATTTAGTATTGGAATGAGAGGCACAAGTCCTAAAGTAAACACAAGTTGTCAATCATACAGCCAGAAAAGCCGGGATCCTATTAAAAAATATAGGGATCCCGGAAATTGACCAGTCTAAGAAGATGTTTTTCAGATAAGCCGGGATCCTATTAAAACATATAGGGATCCCGGGAATTGACCAGTTCAAGAATATAGTTTTCAGAAAAGCCGGGATCGTATTAAAATGTAAATAGATCTCACGGATTGGCCAGTTCAAGTATATAGTTTTCAGAAAAGCTGGGATCGTTTTAAAACATATAGGGATCCCGGGATTTGACCAATTCAAGAAAATAGTCTTTGATTTTTCCAATTAATTAGGCATATAATTATAAGTATTGTGATTTCCGCATTAAATAAGTTTGTTAATAAATAGTTCTAAATATATCTATATTCTAAGTTAAATTAATTTAACGTTCATTACATACAATAAAAAAATTAACGTTTAATGGCCTTTCATTACGACAACAATCAACACAAATATAGTTCACTAGGTTTTTCCTCCATATCTTATACGATCCCGGATCCCGGGCGTCCCGGATCCCGGCCAGTAAATACATACACTAAATACCGGAAAGGATAAAATGACCGGAAAAAAGGAAAAATAAAAAATGCACAGAACCAGATGTACACTTATATTAATTAACCAAACGAAAACTTACCACAGAGAAAACAGGTGAAATCGCTAAATCAGAAGTCAGTGTAAATATGATTTATTGAAAAGAATTCATAAAGACAAACATTTTAATCATCATTATATCTTTGCGCTCAAAACAATACTTGCTGATTTTTAAAAATGGCGTGAAAATTGAAGGTTTTTTGACGCTATGTAAGATTAAATTTGATATGCTAAATAATTTTGGATCCTAGCCCTGATAGATAAATTTTGTAGAAAGCTGGAAGCCAAGCTTCGATTAAATTTTTGGATAGCTTCGGAGTTTTAGGTTGTTTCTCAGTAAAATCCTACCGTAATACCGGCTCGCCGTGGCGAGCCGGCATTACCTCTATATCGAAGTTCAAAATCAAATCAAAATTCAATTCTGTCATCAGAGAATTTAGCTGTGACATCAAAAAAAGCACAGAATATGGTCAGTGACTTCGAAAATACGTGTGATATTTAAATTACAATGTACATGTACTTAATGTGAAATAATGTTTCAAAGAAAACATGTGAAATAATGTTTCAAAGAAAACAATAACTAAATGGTTCACCATTTGAAGTCGATAGCTCAGTGATACACTTTTTTCAATAGCCTTGATGAAATTCAATAGCCTAGTTGAAAATACGTTTCAAAGTATTTAAGAAAAAAAAAACGGATTATGAGTTACGCCTACTCTTATTAATATTTACCACTGCCTATTTGGTAACTGAATTAAATATACAATTTATATTTATATTTAAAAGCAAATAAACAATCCAACAAAAAACATGATAGATTTATTAATTTTCGTTTAAAGTGACATTAATTATGCTCATTTTTTCATTTCAAGTTGAGCTGAATTGACTATATACATGTATTTCAAGAGAATGACTGTTATAATAGTGATACACTGGAACACGTTTAAGATAAGATATAAATTAATCTGTCCAAAACATAAAAAGACTGCCCCTCTCTTTTTTGGAATTGAGCGTTACCGGTATATTCCGACGGACATTTAGAGAAATTTCCTTGCCATGCAGATTATTTCCAAATAGAAATTTGAAAGAACCTGAGCCATGCGAACTATTTATCGTCCATGCAAAGATAATCATAAAATTGAAAGGAATTGTGGAACAATTTAAACTTACTTTGACTTTCCTCATTTCACTTTAAATACCATTGGATGCCTACAGTGCAGACCTAATTTTAGTTGAATCATATTTTATGAATAAGCATTACATAGCTTTATCAATTCCCCAATTTAAGAATAGAATTGAAAGAGGTGAAAGAACATGCAATATATGTCAATCTAGAGACATTGAGGATGAATTCCATATGATATGTGTGTGTCCCTGCTACAGACTTATAAGAAAACGTTACATTGATAAATATTATGAAAGACCATCTATGTTTAAACTTACCCAATTGCTGTCAACCAGAAATGGAAAAATGTTGACTAATTTAGTTTGTTTTCTAGGCATAATCTATTACAATAAATAATAAATAAATAGATTAATAATGAATAAATAAGTGCTCAATTTATTGTCATGTACGTCAAGAATTATATGTTAAATGATACTGATATATTCCACAGTATATAAACGATTTGAACCCCAACCGGATCTTGTGAGAAGATTTTAGTGTCAGCCATATTCTCCCACTTCACTTGTTTACGATATTGGTATTTATATTGATACTGATGGACGTTAGGTTAGTAAATCTTTATTTATATTATTAGAGAGAAACTTTATTAAACGTCTAAGTAATGCAAAACATAAACGTTAGCACGAAGGCTATAAAATAATCGAAACTCACGGACAACTTTCAGGTGATCAACACTGAACACGAACAAAAATCCGTCTTATTCCAATGTTGATTTAGTTAAACATTGAATTGTGATAACGAACTACTAAAGTAATCAATAACAAACGATAATTTAGTCATATGCATAACATATTGCTGTATCTTGAACATAAATTTAAGAGTTTTACCAAGGAGGTCATTTCCGTAAACTGAACGTTACTTGCTGGTGATTGTGAACCCTACTTGTGAGTTTACGAATTTTATCTGTACCCTGACTTGTGAGCATTTTTAAAGATTTATTGGAGAAAAAGTTTACGTTCATTGCGATTTTGTATCAATTATTGCCAGAAAATATAAATGATTGTAATAGAATTTTAGTATATAAGGTGGGGTCTAAGGTATTTACCGAGAATTGGTTTTTAACTGATAATATTGTTAATCATTTGTTTAATAAAATATATAATGCTATGTATATTTTTCTTTCGGATCACCATGGAAGAATACAACTGCATATACTGTTCAGTAAAGACTACGAATTTCAATGCCATCATTGACCACATAATTATTCGCCATCCAGACTGCAACTTGAAAATAAGAATAAATAAATGATCAGAATAAAATTTCCTACTTAAAAAAATTCAGCGTCACAGCCAATAACGTAAACGAAAAAAAAAAAGAAGTTTATAACACCAATTGCTGAAACACTGACGTACATGTCAGAAATAGAAAGTCAATGAATTTCTGAGAATATAAAACAGTGTTTAAAAAAGCAGAATGAAATCAACGGTAGGTGTAAAGCTTTCAACATGTTGAAATAAGTAATCTGCAAAAAAATCTTGTAATGATATTTCGAGGTTTATTGATACGTGACGTTATATAATGGTCACGTCAAAACTTACAACAATGCCGTTGAACTAAATATAAAAAAATTATAGTACATAATTATGCAATATTTTAGCTTTATATCTTTCCAAAGAAAAATGAATGGTAAGTGAAGATGAGGTTTGTTAGTTAATTATTCCTATCAAGAAATAATTGACTTTCTGATTCGTATAAACAGCCACTTTCGTAGACAGTGAAAACATGACGAAGCTCCTCCATTCATATGCAGTTTAAGTTACTTAATTACATGTAAAACATGTACCCTTCTCTTGTGACACAATAACTTCATATTCTGCACAATAAAATTTGGAACATACGACAAAAACACAATAAAAATCATCAAAAGTGACTCGCAAGTAATGGTTCAGTGAAAACACAAGTAGGGTACAGATCATTAAAATTGTTTTAGCAAGACGGGTACAGTTATCAGAAATGTCGCCTCTATTATTTACTATGTTTTATCAATATTCACAGATATTTTCACAAGTGTCTGTCCGGTAACATGAGGTTAAGACAATAAATTAAAGATTCAGATATGAGTTATAGTGAAGTAAAACAATTTTAGGCATACATTTGCTTGTGTAATCGGCGTGTGTTGACATAAACAAAACATGAGGCGAAGAGCACAGCGTTTTATGCGCATATATTTTACGAAGAAGGTAATGGGTGTATATTTAAGCAAAGATAAATTATTTCTTAATAAGATTCAAATGTTAACAAACCGTAACATATTAAATTCAAGCCGATTTTTAATAGTTTAATGTGTCATTACGCCTGATTGTATGTTTAGATGCTGAGATCTTCTCACAAGATCCGGTTGGGGTTCAAATCGTTTATATACTGTGTATTCTATACCTTCTTTTGTCATATGTACAACAGATACTGTTATTTTCAAATATTGTATTATATCATTATACGGGGAAGTCGCGGGTCCGGGCTTTGGCTTGCCCGGCTATAGACTACACGTGTCTATTAAAAAAAAAATTACAAAAAAAAACAATAAAAAAATATATAGAATTCTATACCTATCAATGAAATTTTTCAGTGTCAGTTCTAGTCGGGCACCACCATTTACAATGTAACTCAATGATAAAAGGCGGGGTATTCCGATAATGGAACAAATCTCAACTTTTCGGATTAATAATACTCGTCGAGTGTTCCGAGTGAAAACGGTAGCAGTGCATGTAATACCGAATGACATCTTTAAAACGGAAAAGAATGAAAGGAAATTTTTTAACAACTTCCCCGTTCATAGGCTTTGCCTAATTTCATATTGTTTGACTTTGACACAATAATGTATACCTGTTATGGATGAGGAGCGAATGCTCAAATCTAAAAAATATATAGTTCTAAACAAGTATATTCGCGCGATGTACATAAAAAAGATGGCGTTGCCCAAAAGACTTGACTGAATTTATGATCATCAAATTGTAATTTTTAAGTACATGTAAACGACAAGGACCTTTACATTTTTTTGCTTTGATTGTTTTTAGTTGTTTTATAATCTACTTCACAGTAGCAACCAACTTAATTAACCTACAAACATTTCCATAAATATCCTTCAAAATTATCTGTAATGTACAAACCTATTAAAAGAATAGGAGAGTCGTATCGTATTTTAGGGAGTTTTGATCTTTTATAAACCTATGTTAATATGAAAAAAGGTCAATAACCATTAAAATAGTCTTTTGAAATAAACAGCTTATTCAGCTGAACTTGACGACCCCCCCCCCCCCCCAAAAAAAAAAAAAAAGAAAAGAAAAAAAAAGAGATAAACATAATGTCAATTTAAAAAATGTCTGAAAACACTAAAATAAATATGTTTAGGTAACACATCCTGTTTTTTCATGTTATTTTCAGAGTGTATAGTGTTGGAGAAGGAAAAACCGGTGTTTTAAAGGATTTCACTGATAGGAAAGTTTGTTAGTTTGTTATGTGTTTTTGCGATGAAATTGAAAATAAACAAAACAAATGGCCTGTCCAAAATAGAAAACTAGAAGTTGGCCATGTATTATTGATTGCTTGCTCTGAGATATAAATGTTAATGTTAGAAATGAAATAAATGTGTATGTGATAACAGTGTAATATGTAAAACGTTACATACAAGTTACTTACTGATCCAGACCTTTATCTAATTGTACACACATCGCGAAAGATATTTGACTGCTGTCCTTTCAAGAGTATTCGGTGCTTTTTAGAAAAGCTGAAACCATTGAACTGATCCAGACATGTAACAATAGCATTCCTTGAAAAGTTGGCTCAGGGTGTGGCATTTAAATCTCCGGCTACTAAAGCATGTACACGAGGTTACTACTAGTATTAAATATCTTTACCACTTTGGATTGTTCTCACGTTGTATATTATAAGCATATTTTTTGTCATTTCAAAAATTAAAATAAAAGCAGAAAACAAGTAAAAAAGAGGTAACTTTTATTTAAGAAAAAAGAAACACAACAGTAGCAAAAATCAGAGAAAAAAAACAACAATTAACAAAATATTAACAGAAACTGCTAAACCATACCTGATGATATATTAACATAAAATGTACTTGAAATAGTAAAAAAGAAAAAAACGCACACAAATTGAATTAAGACGTTTCAAGCAAATGTTTATGAGGCACGCTAATACAATATATGTATGTTAATAAATAACAAATCCTTTTCTGAAAATTAGGTACATTGTGGCTAAGAAATAAATATCTATGTTTTTTCTTTAAAAATTACTATAATTGTACAATTTGCAAAAGAAGCAAACGATGGTTTAGCTCCATGTATTTATTTTACTTTTTCGAAAATTGAAACATCACACAAAAAGTAAAATGAAAATATTATTATGGGGGTTACTTAACCTAAGAAAAATAATAACATATAAAAATATCTTGAAAGTCAATGTATGACAACTGATGTGAAACAGCATTTTACCCTTCCAAAGTTAAGATATAAAAACAATATTATGTAATTACGCTGCCCAAATGTTAGTGATTTACAAACAAGTATGATATAAACTGCCGATGTTTCAGATCTGTTCGATGGTGGCTTCGTCAATCTTGGGGGTGTATTAATATTTTAGTTATCCTGGTGCTCAGCAATATGAAACTTTGTGTTTTGAAAATAATTAAATTATTCAATTTAAATATATATTCTTTTTTTTTGTAATAGTAAAACGCTCTTATGATCAGTCGTTTAAATTTATTTAAACAGTCAGCTAATGTGTTTTATTCGTAGAACTTCAAAACAAAAATTAATGTTATCTATACTGTTTAAAAACTTACCTATGACAGTACAATAATAATCAACAAGCCAAAATATAACGATTGATAAATGTAACGATTGTAACACTTACAAAGATAAAACAATATAATGGAAGTCATGACAATACATTTCAAGAACGTTTATTTTGTACATATGTAACCGACTGATTGTTCGTGTTTCATTACAAATAAGAATAGAGGTTTAAGTAAACGTTTAAGCAAAATTAATGTTTCTAAGCACTCACATTGCGTCTTGATGGAGCAATAAACGATCCAGTCATTAAAATTCTACACAGGAAACAACGACAAAATAATACAATACAGAGGAGCGACAGTACAAGAAGACAAGACCTGGTCATTACAGACAATACAACAATTGGTATATACAACGTAAGGTTATGTTTATTAAAGTGGGACTTCAATACTTTGTTTTTCTATCCATGTAAATCTTTTGAAATAAAATCAATTTAGAATATACGTGGAAGCTCGGTGTACAGTCTTCTATTACACAATATCATCCAGTGTTCAGCGTTCATATTTTGAAAATGATTTTTACACCAGCAAAATAGTTACAAACTTAAAGCAAGAAATGTTCAAATTTAGTTGTAGAAGATCACCAGTCGTTTAAAATACATTACATGTAAAGGAACTACAACGTTTCAAAACAAGTTAATATCCGAAACAACTAAACCTACACATAAGTAATATCTATGAATTATAACGGGTAATAATATTAAATGAATTAAAAATAAACAGATTTCAAAATTCAATTTTTTCTTTGTAATAAATCGTTGTTTGATATATGATATTTTTATTGCCATAAGAGATAATATTCTTTTCGATGTTTCTTTATTTTTGTATATTTTGTCTTTTCGGTGGAATATTTTCTAACACTTGCAATACCCGGGTAATGTAAGGTTTGTAGGACAGTTGGAATATTCTCCATGGTTACAGTTGAGGTTACACCAAGCTGTCATAACCTGCGTCATGTATTCTCCCAATGCATAGATGCCACCTGGGGTACATTCTACTTGTTCCTGAAATAATTAAAAAACAACGAATTTTGCTTTCAAATTAGATAAATTATATAGGTAGATAGGTAGATATATATAGAAATAGCCCAAGTATATTTTTTAAAAGATGTTTTTAAAACTGAACATAAAAGGATAATTAAGCATCATTGAAAGAGATAATTACATGCTAAGAAATAAGTTTGAAAAAACAAAACTAACATAACAGAACATAAATCCCAATTTCCAGAAAGTATCGCCAACTTCGATATGTTAGAAAATTTCATATTCCCAAAACGGGATAAAACATTGAATACGGAATAAAAACATGTTAAGCAGTATTTAAACATGACGTTATATGACTCGTACTAACATCATTTGACCATACAAACGATTTAAATGTCTAGAAAAAAACGCACAACAACAAAAAACGTCATATACGGATGGTATTTCGTAAGTTCACGGAAAGCAATCACAATTTTTCAGTCATTTTCTGTTATACAGAAGGGAAAAAATTTACAATTAATTGGCAAACATTTCCCTTTGAGGAATACATTTGGGATACAAAATGAAACATGTACCATGTTTTGTAGACTATATTGTAACTTTATGGCCATATTTATGAAAATGAAAATCAATCTACAAAATTGTATCGAAATACCAAACTGAATCAAACTTCAAAACGATTTAGGCCACCTAAAAAGTTTGACAGATAATCAAAGAATACATAATAAAATTAATAAGTTGAGAAGCTACATTCGGAAAAGGCTTCGTAAAGGTCAATAATTTAGGTCAATTAAATTCAAATTTCTGGTGCAAAGGTTGTATCAATACAGTATTCATTTATCTTATAGAATTTTATCCTATATATAGAATGAAATATTTAATAACTGTTTTATTTAAAAAACGTTATCTTAGCAGTTTGAACTAGCTCGTTATAAATTTGAATACTAGTATTCAAGTTAGCATAGTATATTACTTGAGGTAAGGTCACTTAAAAGGGCAGCTTGTAATAACACTTTACAACTTACATCAGACACCTCTGTAACATCCAGGCATGCGCAGTGAGTCTTATACGGGCAATTAACCGGATCTGAACCACACGCTTCGTTACACCAAAAGTCCATTCCGTGTAGAGATGCATACAGTCCTTGACCAAAACACCGGTATGTGGCTTTCGGCGTTGTTGTTGCTGGCACTGGTGTTGTTGTTGTCGTTGTTGTCGTCGTCGTCGTTGTCGTGATGCGTTCTGTAGTTTTTGCAAAAAAATACGGCTTATGTCGTATTAGGTAGATGGATTGATCAAATTGTATGCGATAATACCAAGTAATTTAAAGACTTTTTACGACAGTAAAAGCATACACCTACCCAGTTATAAGCATTGGTAATTATTGCGACATATAATTATACGTCGGTTTTATAAACAGTAACCAATAGGACATTGCTCAATGTAAATTACTTTAAATGATGAATAAATAACTGCTTTGGGTTAACTCTTTTATGTTTGAAAGCAGAATACACTAATACACTAGAATGCAAGCGGCAAGTCATCCGTTGGATCATCATAGTGACAAAAAATGAAATATGAAATTATATGTAATAGTTTTAATTGATTTTTTATATACATAGTATCTTAATTACTCTTTAAACAAGTATAGAAAACGGAGTAAGTATTAGAAGTACCTATCTCGACAACCAGACCAAAGCAAGTTGCTTTGCGGCGAAGGTTTATACATAGCTTGACGGTGTAAGAGCCACCCTTCTCTAACGAGAGGTCCGAGTTGACAATGATTTCTTTAGTCGTCTCTACGTCAAAAAGATATATGTTTGATATACATGTACTAATTTTACAATATCTTTAAATGACATTTTGCGACGAAAATGTCATTCTGTTACCTTTCTTTCAATAATGTTCATGTTTTAAACAGTTTTTAAGAATCTACCATGTAGGGTCTATCTCTTAGTAATATGACCTAGTGTAGACTTGTCAATGTATAGTAATGCATGTACCCGATTTTATCTCTTCGCAAAGAATATATGAAATAAAATCCGAAGATAATTAAGATAGAATTTAACTGTTGTTGTAAAATAAAAAATGGTCATTTTTGCAGTATGCCCATGCTCTATACTATTAAGTACTGAAATGTTTCAGTCTTTTAAACTAACAGCGGACTGTTCTGAGAGTGAGTGAAAAGAAATTACGGCTTGATTCATTTTACGGGTTCATACCATTGTATCTGAACAGAGATTGACCGGTTGCATTTGATGTAGGTCCAACCAGACTGTAAACCACGTTGTTTTCTCCAACTGGGATAGTAATGCTGTCAAACTTCAGTAAGACGTCCCCAACTTTAGCATCCGTGTCAAGTTCTATTGGAACGTCTTCACCTGTGAAAGGAGGAGCAACACATTAACATATCTCAAATCTAAGCATTTAAAACGATTCGCGTAAGAAACTACAGACTTTTTGTCACAAAACAGGCATGTTCTTCTCATAACAGGTTGCAATTCAAATGATGACCATGTGTCAAATTCAAATATGAAAATAATCGAAATAAACAGTAATTGGTAAGTAATTTGTACCATTGAATAGAAATTTAGAAACATTTTTACCAATAGTCTTAAATATGCCATATGACAGCTTAATCTATCTGTGCACTTTTTGAATTAAATATATACCAGGAAATTTTATTTCCGGTTCCGGTGCTTTTGAAACATTCAAGCTAATCATCTGTCCTACTACATCGTTGTCGATATAACCGGATGCACTGCACTTAACGGAGATTTGGTAGTTGACATTGTAGTTAAGACAACCCGAATAAAGCCTGCAGTTACTACAGTCAGTTTTGCTACATGATTTCCGGAAAATTTTCGTACCTTAAAAAAAAAGAATATAATCATAAGTCCTTTGATAAAAAAATGTCTTTTATGGCTATTTTCATTTTCAAAGAAATTATCACAGATTCATTGTTGTAATAAGTTTCAGCAAGGTCTTATTTTTCATATATATTTAAACTATTATATGCGCCGAGACTTTTCTTCCACAAATATGTTACTAATGTGTTAATTTATGACAATTGTACCTTACATGTAACCACACTCAAACTGTTTTGAAACAATAGTTTTTCAGTTATTATCTTGCTTGTGCATTAAATATTCCTTGATAATCAAAAACAGTAGTTGTACATTTAGACAAGCTTAATTTAATGAGTATAAAAATAATTCAAAACGTTGATATTTCAAAAGGCAAATGTACACAATTTAAGCAACACAATTTATATATTTACCATCGCGGACTTCTGCAATTCCATCTGTACTCTGAACTGTGCATTTCGTGCACGGCACTGTTTTGGAGCACGTGCAAGAACCGCCATCAGCACATGGACATGCCTCTTGAACAAAACATTTTGTGTTGGCGGTCCATAGCAGACTTTCTTGATTGTCATTTTCGTTCATTTGAAGAGATATTGGTTTCGGTAATTCAACAACTTTAGACTCGTCTGCAACACGACGCAAAATAATTAGAAAGAAGCGCTATTAATGACACGGTATATATAACAATTGTGAACAATTAATTAATAAATACTATCATCTTGTTCGTGGCATCCAGTAACAGTTATTTTATATTCGGTCCATCAATCCGCCGAGAGAATAAATACTTGTTACAATTACAAATATCACTCTGATGGAAAAACAATAACGAGACAAATACTGAGTTGCTCCATTCCATGACATTATCGCGTAAAGGTTTATTAGTTTATCAGGAATCCATCAAAATAAGCAGTGTATATAAAAACTAAGAAGACAATATGTTATGGTGAAAAAAGTCTTCATAAAAAGGCGATCAAGTGATTTACCACATTGATAATCTCTGCATATCCTTCCATTACAAGCTTCAGAATGCTGGGCTTCCTTGTACGGACATACTGAAAAATAAAGTTGTTGATTATATTGATAAATGAAATCTTTGTAAGAGGTAGTCACCTCTATTTCGTTTTTACATGTTTACCCATGGTCAATTATGTTTACCAAGAAAACGCGGACAAAAGGGGTAAATTGTAAAATATCTGTAGACCTGCGTTTTGCAACCCTCATCTTTAGGTCGGGTAATACTTGTAGGCTAGCTTGAGGGACATAGCTTATAGAACACAGAAAGGATAAACATACACCCAATAATGAATAATAGGCTATGACCTTTTCGTCTTTTATAATTTTATACGTGTCAGGTAATATTGGCTGACTAACTTCTACTACCAAACAATAACGGAAACAATACAGTGTAAACTTTTATGACCATAAACAACTTGTAAAAGACATGTGATGACCTAGTTGTTTTTGTGTCAGCAACTCATACACGGTTTGTCACATGGAATTGAGCCCTACTCGGGTCACGACCATATATCCTCACATTGAACCAGTACTAAGAAGCAAGAAAGTGGTTCAGTTAAGCTTCAAACTTTCATCTCAATAGTGCTAAAACAAAATGTAAAACGCATTGAAATGAAGCAGTGCAAGTGAAAGTTTAACCGTCCTCTCATGGTGTGTACTGTTCGCTATTCAGACATTCAGCAGTTCATATTCAGTAAATTCCGCAAAAAATGAAATGGTTGTGACCATATTGAATGGTGGACGAGTCCATTAAGGTTAATTTACGTGGTAAGGGTTAAACAAACACCAAACGCCTTGATTGAATTGGTTTGATTATGTCAAATTGTTTTATAAACTATACCTCCATTGCATCCATTTATGTCCACTTCTCCGAAACTTCCGATACAGCAGAGCTTCCTTGTCTTAACTACCGGCCTGGTGAATAAAACAAAATCATCAGACATCGCTTATATCGTCAGAGTTTTGTGACGGCATTATCACTAACGGAAAAGACTTAAATATTTTTTTCACATTCATTGCAGAATCATTATTTGCATTGGTAGTGAGTACAATTACATAGTTATCAATCATTTCAACATGTAACAGTGTTAACAACAACTTAAGAATGGCGATAGAAAAAAACAAGACAATTGAAATGAAAATTGTATATATAAAGCACAAAACTCACGTTGAAACGCGCTTAGTAGATTGACATCTGCTCCAGCCCCACCAACCACACTTGTAATAACTAACGTCAACGGAGTAAGTTTCAACTGTATATTTTTGTTCACATACGGCCCCGCTGAAAGTAATGAAAACAATTTGCAAATTATAAAACTACATCCGTCACTGCTGAAACATTAAGATAAAAACCCTGTATAATCGCGTTGTTTTCAATCATTCATAACAATACACTGTACTTTAATTTTTAAGTTCGCCCATTCGTCACCATTTTATAGGTAATTTGCAAATATAAGCCGTTAAAAGGTATGATGTTTAATATAGAAATATATAGTCAACCCTTTAAGGTCTTGTGTTTTGCGTCAACTTACACTCACTGGAGAGTTGTTCGATTATAAATCTTGGCTTCATTATTATCATTAAAATGAAATGTTAAATCATTAATGACATAAAACTATCACACAAAGACGAGCCCGATGAAATACATACAAATGATAAGGCTTAAGGCTTAAAAAGGTAGCAATTATAGCAGTTACAGTACAGTTTTAATTTGTTTGTTTACTAGTTGTCCCTTTACTTTGTTTTGTTTCCTCTATATACATGTATATGTTCGCATTGGGATATCTTAAATTATGAGCGACATTATGATAGTCATTTGGAGACTCGTTTCTTAGAAGTAGAAAGTCCGGCTTAGTCTTTCGCGGACCATTTTGTCACTGCATCATTGTTTCATTTTGTTACACTTTTTGTTTCAATACGGAACTCTTTCCACCTAATATGCTTTCCTGGATAACTAACTAGTAATTACCAATTTCTGTAATGACCAACTTGTTATATCACATGATCACTAAATAAGTTATGAGAGTGAGAGACAAATGACCATTACACTCAATGTCCGGTAATGAGAGATTTAGCCTTGCATACAAATACAATGCTCTCCCTAATGTACTAAGCGGGCAAACTTCTTGGCTGCTGATGGACCGCCAAATTTTGGACAAACTTTTTTATATTTGCATGTTTAAACAGCCTATGTAATCAGAAATGAACAAATACCCTTATTTCACGGGAACTATATGGTATAGCAAGTGAGTATAGTAAACATGATTTCAATATACATGTATGTAAAGATTTTGAACTTTTAACGTCATCAAATATATATTGGTGATGTTTACACATCGCCACAAACAAAATATTCCTCTTTACATTTTTTTTTTCATTTCATTTTTATGTGAATTATTTTTTACTTCAGCACACAACTTTGCGCTAATTCTTTCACAACAAATGCCATGAAATTTGCATTCACATATACCGCTTGTGTATTTAGTTTGCAAGGTCAACAAAAACCTTATTTCATACTAAAATACCTAAATGATTGTACAGGACAATAATATAAAGTTACCTATCGATCATAAGTGTCCTGAAATTAAAACTTTTTATCACCCCCACTTAAAGATAATAACTTTGTATTTGACAGACGGCTATTCTTCATGATTTAAGTTTTGGCGGAAGTATAAATGTCTATCGCCCATGGCAACACAATATACTGACACACAGCCAAAAAGTCTTAACACCTTGTTTATTCGGAGTGCTAGCTATAGCAATGACAATCATTTTCTTTACCCCGACCTCGCATCGAACCTGCATCCTCCCACACACAATGCGGGCGTCATCTAACTAGGCCATTGCTGCGGTCCTTGTATATATTTGTCAAATATATGGAGAAAATTATCAACACCGTAGCCATGTTACAATTATTTTCTTTTCACATTTAACATTAGATGTTTTTAAAAACGTAAAACAAAGTATTTTATGTACGAGTTTTCCTTTCTATCATTGAAAAATGGATGGATATTTGAATTTTTAGCTCCGGGTATGGCAGCGAGTAAAATTGAAGTTCAGCAACCGCTCAGTTGCTAGACAAACTTTCATGTAGTTTAACAGTACTGAACAAGGACCTGATATACTTCTGTACAAGCCAGAGTAGAGGTACAGTGTGATTGACCGTAGAAAGGTTACAGCAGCTATTTATGTAAATGGACAGTAGTAACATTTAGTATTTTACCTTACGACGTCTGTCAGAATCTCATTCAAGATGATAAGGCTCACCAATATCTTAAACATTCTGTAACAGAAATAAATAAATAAATAAATAAATAAATAAATAAATAAATAAATAAATAAATAAATAAATCGACGCTTTTTCCAGATTCCTTTAAAACTAAAGTATTAAATAAAAAAGGGGAAACAAAATATTTCTTTATAGCAAAGTTACATACTACATATTTGAAATAATCATCTAATAATGATCAATAAACAATTCAACATTATAAAAAAGGATAATTAAAAAAAAACGTATTTGGACTCTTTGTTTTAAAAATAAAAAATACTCAAAATAAATAAATAAATAAATAAATATAGAAAAAAATAAAATAAGAATAAATAAATCATACCTGATCCAGTCTTGTTTTAGTCCATATAAACACAAATTAAAGACTGACAAAAACTTTAATGAAACTGCGCAGTTTTAATATTGCGTAACGATTCTATTTTCTTTCCGAACTGATTTAAATTCTTCTCTCTTTCTCTCCTTTTCTTAAAACAACAAAAAGTACCCGGAAGAGTTGAACGGTTATTTTTTTGATATTGTGCATTCAAACGACGCAGTGATTTTAAAAAGGCTAATTTACTTTCTGTCACAAATATAATGCTATAATGTATTTCAAATTAACAAAGAACTATACAAATGCGAATTTGTACAAAAGAAGTCATGGGATATCTTGTAATCTTATACGACTTTTTTGTTTGTAAATGACGTGATCGCTACATATTGTCAATAAGCATTATGATATGCATTCCAATTTTATGAAAACCCATTTTTGTACCATTTATTAATGTAATCTCCTATTCGAAATTAAAGTAAATGTACATATTATACTTTAACGATAGATTACCCTGAAACGGGATGTTTAATAATCGATGCACGTGTTTTTTTATGAGCTGGCATGAATATATATGTAAAAAAAGCACTTGCATACAACAAGCAGAAGTTTTTCCATCTGAATAATGCACCAGTCAATAATAATTCCGACCGCCCCACTTTGTGACAGTGCGTGCGATAGCGGTGGAAATGAGCAGGATTTTTACCTTCAGCCTAAACCCGCACTGCTGCGTCGAAACAGTGGTAACAACCTGATTATCGGGTACAAGCTCGAATCTCGTTATTTTCAATACTATAGGAAGAATATGTATAATTTCTTCTCTCGAGATTTGAGATCTGACAGCTATATATATATACAATGTATGTCATTAGTTCTTTATATGGAATCAGAGAATTGTCGTTTAAACGAAACATTTACATGTATATTTTAATAAAGATAAGTTAAATACCACAAACTTCTTAAGTCGGCCTACTAGGGCAATAACGTAATTGTAAATATATGAAACGATGACATCATGCCCACAATGATTTAAAATATTGAAACGGGCCGACGTTCACTTGGGATCCCAGTAAAGTTTTCATTCTTGATCATAAATGACACCGACTATCAAAATAAAATATTTTTCATGAATCATTCAAACAAACTTTTATTAAATGTATAGTTTTGAGTGTGTTTAGTTTGTTTACTCAATTACCATATGGGCAAGCATACACGTATATCCAATGGTGTCTTGCTAACATTTCTTTTATTGGTATTCCTTAAACATTACATAGTCTACATTCTTGACAAAACTTTTCTATCGGAAACTAGATCATATTATTCTAGTGAAAACCATAATAAGGAAACTGCTCAAATTGTACGCTGTTGAATTTGGTATTTTGGCGCATTATTAAAGTATTATATACATATTATTAGTCTAACAATGAAACCCTTTGAACCATTATTTTTCAAAACTGCACCAATTCTCATCTGGACCGTTACAGGACCGTTACAGGGCATTCTTCTATATCACTTGACAACTCACATAGAGGCTACGTCATATCATGTGCCACTAAAATAAAATCATTTTAAATGTTGGTTGAATATTTTACTGTATAAATTATGTTAAATACCTTGTTTAACATGATAAGTATATCAATTCACTACGTTTTTATACCCCCACTTAATGGGTTGGGGCATGTGAATTTGTCCTTGTCTGCCTGAAACGCTAACACACTGGACATCACGCTGTCATGCTGTCTCGCTGTCCGTCCGTACACTCATATTACGATGAAATGCGAGGGCATCCACCTCTAGATGCAGCTTACAACCGTATAAAGCTTATTTTTGTAAGATGACTAAGATGGTGATTGTCGTCAGCTTTTCGCTCTAGCTACGACCACGGTAGATGCCTAGTACAACAACGTCTACAACGGTGATTTTGATAGCGACTACGACGTCTTAGACTTAAAGCACTACGAATACAGCTACGACTACGACGACACTGACAGTTTCCCCAACTTCTACGACTATGACTTTAACGACTACTCCGACGACTACAGCCACTACGATTTGTAATAACTACATGACTACGCATTTAAAGACTACGTCGATAACTTCGGCAGCGACTACGATAACAACGTCTTATACAAGTATATGTCGTTATTGACGACGACGTTAATTAAGCGAGTAGTTTAAACCTCTAGGTTTACGATTTGTACGACTTCGGTTTCTATCTGCAACGCGACAACTACAACGATGACAACGACTTCGACTGACTATGACATATTGGAATTATGACTACATCTAAAACTTCGACAATGATGACAACCAAATAACAATAGGTGTCATTTTCTGATCATCGCTTACCTTCTTCTGCAAAAAAAGCAAAAGAATTCACTCGTTATATATGGAAAACTATTTTTTGTACCATACAAAGTGAACTTGACTCCTGGGAACCATAATAAAAAAAAATTATGTCATTTTCTGATTATTGTCAATACACCTGCCAAATAAAGAAACTAAACTTAAAAATGTTGTCACTAGGTGTGAGCTACATATGTTTAAGGCACCTCGGAAATTAATGATTTTCCGTTTTGTAGATAGGTAGATACGAATTTATATTGTTGTAAAATGTGGATTTAGAACATGTAAGATGCTGATAACAGGAAGGCAATAACATTAAATGTGAAATAATTTGTGATGAACTTAGCAAAATGTAAACATATTTGTAATTTGACTTCCATACAAAATTCTAATTCATAGTAACTGTACTTATTACCAAAAACGCAAAAGAAACGAAAGATAGCTCAGGTATTCAATGGCCAAAGAATTACTTATTGGTAACTTTAACAGGACGCCTTGAAAAGGTTTTGGAAAATAAAAAAAGTTAACATGTGTAAGGCATAACAGACCTTTAAGACGCAATACCTTTTTCGAAAATGGATGTACATGTATACGTAAGCTGTATGCGTTGACAGTTAACGAATACAGCTTACCGTAAGCTGAATACGTTTAACCACGTATACAGCTAACGAGTAAGGTAAGCTATATACGGCGCAATACTGCTCTGATTTAAGTTCCACTGAAATAAAAAGACTTTGCAGATTGACTCCTAGACCCCAGCATTTGCGGGAACCTAGGTATAGAGACTAGTATATCATATACTAGGCCGGTATATTCCTTACATAAATTGATTCACTTTAAAGGTCAGTTCGTACATTCATAATATGCACACGCATGTACAATTTGGTAAATATTTATAATTCTATGAATGCAATTTCTATACTTGTCGACAAACTTTCAACTTAATACATTGATATTATATACATTTTTGTATTTATGTTTGCTAAATGAAAACATACAAATCAGTACGTATTTCTTGATTAGACATCAGTGATCTTATCTTTACTACAAGGATATGTTATAGTTATAGTGGCTGTTGCTAGCGACAACACGACGCACAAAAGTGTTCAAAATTAGCCACCATATATACAAGTAACAAAAACACATCAATATTATAAATGTATTTATAACATTGTACGATTTTTATTCATTCTAATACTGTGGTGAAAATTGATATAGATTATACAAAATACACCTGATCATTTGAAAGATCTTTGGCAATTATAGCAATTACACAAACTCTTTACCTCAACGATTGATTATAATCATAGATAAAATTGATAAAAGAAGACCGAAGTCACGAAGTTACATAGATCTAAATGTTGAATGATAGGCCATTTTGATTCTTTGCCAGAAAAATATATATATCAAATATATTTTAAATTATAACCAGTCTAAGACATAATAAATATTCATGAGGGGATCACGTGACTTTGTATACAACGACTTCGGCGCATCGGTAAGTCCATTATTTTTATAGATTTAGGTGAGAAATGTTTCCTAAATACAAACTAGACACACGGTAACTTTCTTCAAATATCAATACCAAGTACATTGCCCTACGTTTATGGTTTTTGAGAACACATGGATAACATTGTTTAAATTGTGTGAAAATTGCAAATGTAGCTTTACTAAATCACACGAGACGGTATAATTTTGTACCAAAGTGAATAAGACAAGCTTTCTTCCTTCACTAAAAACACAAAACCAAGCATAATATTGACATCTTTTATTGTAGAAGTCCAAATAAAATCTGGCTGAAAAATCAACACGATTTTATATGGACTTCTACGATAAAGAAATGTCAATATTATGCTTGGTTTTGTGTTTTTTTAGTGAAGGAAGAAAGTTTATTTTCATTCATTTTGGTACAAAATCATACAATTTTCATTGACAAATAATTTTACGAATATATATTATGCATAATAAGTATTATAAAATGATGACAGAGTTATGAATATATTTATTTGACCTGCATGATACAGTATATTTTTATATCTATCTTAGAATTAGAAGAACATTGAACGCTATATATTCTTTTTTTATTCCAAATCTTTGCACTATTGTAACAAAAAGCTCTTTTTAACATAGTTTGAGCGGCGGCTTGGTATAACTATGTCATGAGGTGATTTCTTGATTGTCAATACTTCAAGATTGTTCATTACAATAAATACTTTTTTGTTTTGTTTATAATATCATACATTGTTTTTGGATGGATGGATATAATAATATTATTTTCGTTAGTGGCATAGCCAGGGGTGAAAATGTAGTAGTAAGCGTTCACGAGCGACACATAGATTTATGTGTAATGTGAAAATTTTGTACGAAGAGCTGTCAAGCTCGAGTTAGCATATTTGTTATAACATGAGTCGAACAGCATTATATTTGACGTCAATGTTGTTTTTCTTGTTATCACATAATACGCGGCGCAGAAGTGTAATAAAGCCATTTAATAAAAACGATATTACACTAGTGTAATAACACTTTGACGTGACGTCATTTGCGCTATATATATACATAGCGTTATAAGCGCGCTAATGTTAGCGTTACACTATAGGCGCGTCATTGAAAAATTACTCATTTTATCATGCAACTGCTATGGTAACTGCCGATAACACTTGCCTGATAATTATTTTTGATATCACGTCAGTAACCTGATATCAAAAATTAGCCCCGCCCATTTTAACGGACTTTTTTCAATTGCTTATATTCTCATTTTCATCAGCATGTGAATTCTACAATGTAATCTCATACCCTTACAAGTCTTGAATCAATATGCGAAATT